GTTCAGACTATGAACACATGTTCGGATAACGAACACTTCACAAAACAAACACAAGAAGAAGCGACGAAAAATAATGAATACTGATTGGTCTTTCCTTGTCTTCGGGCAACAATTCGAAACGTTTCGGAGCGCGGAAGACATCGACATCGACGCTCAACCTGGTATATACTGATTGGATAGTATTCCTCCGAACTTTGAAACTCCCTTCTAATTCCAGCCTTTTATTTTTCTAACAGAAACAATTCTTTTATACAGTAGTATTCGCGAGACTGTCGGATGGGCACTCGTTAAGTTTTGCGTCGGTTTTTATTTTAGAAAGGTGAGAGTATAATAGCAAAGGTAGAGTGGGCAGAAGATGTCTGATGTTGCTGGGCAATATGGCTCGAATAGGTCTACCAGGTCAACAGTTGGCTGCAATTTAATCTTATACAGTATAATCAAGAAGACTCAAGCAGCTAAAGGAGTAATAAAAATCACATCTGAGAAATAAAGAACATTTAAGAGCTCGTAATGGAACCTGAAACGAATCTGACGACAGAAGAACGCCAAGAACTCTTGAATGAAGAACAGGTGGAAAAGTAAACAGGCTGCATCAATAGGCATAGCCTTAAAATAGTGAAGAAATAGTGGGTGAAATGATGTTATAAGAAGGGTGGGTGGAAAGGAAGAAGGATATGAGGGGGAAGGAATTCTAGAAAGATGAAGAAGGAAGTAGAAGTGAGACACATGAGCGCCCTGCCGGGTACCTTTTTAAGAGAGAAATATAAATTACAAAATTTCCCACATAGGGGAGAACAGTTAAATGTAGCTATTTACGATGAAGTGCGGTTTTACAATTAATACCAGAAATAAATGGTCATCACAGAAGTGGTGTTACAGAGAGGATACGGCGAGACAGAGTTATCTGCAGAACCAAATGATAAATATCACTCCGTGCTGTTCTGCGATGGGCGATGTATCTTCTTAAAGTTGTCCATGGTTGAGATGAAGTTCAAAAACAATTTTCGTGCAGTCTATTCTCTTGAAGAAGAAATGGCTGGTATGGTCAGGGATGATTATTTTTAACACTCTCCCTCTCCCCCGCACGAGAAATTTCAAAAAAATCCCTTCTTAGTGTGCATTTTCATGGCGTACCCTAACTGTGTACCAAATTTTAACTTTCTACACCTAACCGTTTGTACTCTGCGCTTATTATTGTCATTATTATTATTATTATCAACCCATCCTCCCTCGGGGAGGTGAAATTTCCAAAAAAAAACCCTTCTGCACGCACGAGAGCGCCACTATCGCCACAATATTTTTTTTCTAGAAGAAAACATCCCATTTAAAATTCATTTCTTGAACAAAACATATTTTGAGAAAAATGTCACGGCACGCTTCATTTATTTTACGTTCAATGACATGTTAGGATCATTTAGAAACATACTAAACGGAGTCGCACGCACGCCATCTTTTGATCATCCCGACGATTCTATATTCGATTATTAAAATAACACATTTGAAGCGAACAGACGAAAAATAATTATTTTATTATTTCAAACATAAACATTATTAAAGTTAATATTCAATAAACAGATACGATAATAAAAGAGAAATATAGCATTAGAGTAATGTAGGGCCGGTGAAAAGCATCTAGGCTAGACGAGTGCTCATTGTTTGGTGTTAAAAGCGTTCCCGTTGTCAAGGAGGAATGATGGGACGCTATTTCTTGTAAATTCTCTTCTCAGTTACTTTGAAATGAGTGCTCATGGATGTATTCATTTAACCAACTTCAAGAACGGTAAAGGAACTCATTCTTTTNTAATCTGCCAGTCCTTTTGACGAATCTCGGAGTTTGCTGTCTGGAAAAGTATTTATTTCATAATGTATTATTCCTGCACAAGATTTCAATTTGTGATAAGTAATTATATTTTTATCATCTCCACTTTCTAACCCTTGGGATTCTATTTCCGTATATTCTATGTTACTATCTCTTTCGTCGTCTTTATGATTCTTCTTCTGTTTGTATCGATTGATTACTGTAAAGAGTAATATATTTTAAGTATTTAGATGATCTTTACACGCTGGCTATTTAATTTATGTAATTCTAAATATTTTTAGCTTTTAAAATAATGGATAAGTAAATTTTATATAATACAGCTAACTAACTATTAATGTTTTCTTCAAAATGTTTCGTTCCATCTATTTTTTTCCTTTTTCTCTGCATCTATTCCACCTTTCACCTATTTTAAAGTTCATTACTTCATTACGAAATCAATGAAAAGTATAATTTTATACTACCAAGCAGCAGCACACGCAGTAACAAGTGTATAAAGAAGTTCCTGTAGAGTTTTATGAAATATAAGTTTATATATAAACAGTACAAACACAATAGCTTACATACAAGCTATTATAATACAGTGAGTGATCGGTTAACGAACAGTTCAGACTATGAACACATGTTCGGATAACGAACACTTCACAAAACAAACACAAGAAGAAGCGACGAAAAATAATGAATACTGATTGGTCTTTCCTTGTCTTCGGGCAACAATTCGAAACGTTTCGGAGCGCGGAAGACATCGACATCGACGCTCAACCTGGTATATACTGATCGGACAGTATTCCTCCGAACTTTGAAACTCCCTTCTAATTCCAGCCTTTTATTTTTCTAACAGAAACAATTCTTTTATATAGTAGTATTCGCGAGACTGTCGGATGGGCACTCGTTAAGTTTTGCGTCGGTTTTTATTTTAGAAAGGTGGGAGTATAATAGCAAAGGTAGAGTGGGCAGAAGATGTCTGATGTTGCTGGGCAGTATGGCTCGAATAGGTCTACCAGGTCAACAGTAGGCTGCAGTTTAATCTTATACAGTATAATCAACAAGACTCAAGCAGCTAAAGGAGTAATAAAAATCACATCTGAGAAATAAAGAACATTTAAGAGCTCGTAATGGAACCTGAGACGAATCTGACGACAGAAGAACGCCAAGAACTCTTGAATGAAAAACAGGTGGAAAAGTAAACAGCAGGGGCGTGCCGTGACATTTGATGATAGGGAAGCTGTGTTTCTATAAGAAGCCGACATCCAGGGGCAATCAGTTAATTCTTTCTTTAAATGTATTTTTAATAGATTATTTATCTGACGTACTTAATAAACAAGTTCATTATAATTACCTCTGTTATTAGATCCAATATATTCCATATGCCCTCTAAATGCCAATTCTTGCTTTGATAAAAACATATAACATCTATTTATTTAGATATAATATATCTATTATCCATAATTANATAAGACATTCCCTGAAAATAAGACCTAGCGCATTTTTCAGAGCAAAAATTAATATAAGACACTGTCTTATTTTCGGGGAAACACGGTAGTAAAATAATTTTATTAATAATAATAATTCAGTAACATAAATTTATTCATAGTAAAATGTACTCGCGGGCCGTAAAAATTATTTGGCGGGCCATATACGGCCCGCGGGCCGCCAGTTGGACAGCGCTGGCTTACATACAAGCTATTATAATACAGTGAGTGATCGGTTAACGAACAGTTCAGACTATGAACACATGTTCGGATAACGAACACTTCACAAAACAAACACAAGAAGAAGCGACGAAAAATAATGAATACTGATTGGTCTTTCCTTGTCTTCGGGCAACAATTCGAAACGTTTCGGAGCGCGGAAGACATCGACATCGACGCTCAACCTGGTATATACTGATTGGATAGTATTCCTCCGAACTTTGAAACTCCCTTCTAATTCCAGCCTTTTATTTTTCTAACAGAAACAATTCTTTTATACAGTAGTATTCGCGAGACTGTCGGATGGGCACTCGTTAAGTTTTGCGTCGGTTTTTATTTTAGAAAGGTGAGAGTATAATAGCAAAGGTAGAGTGGGCAGAAGATGTCTGATGTTGCTGGGCAATATGGCTCGAATAGGTCTACCAGGTCAACAGTTGGCTGCAATTTAATCTTATACAGTATAATCAAGAAGACTCAAGCAGCTAAAGGAGTAATAAAAATCACATCTGAGAAATAAAGAACATTTAAGAGCTCGTAATGGAACCTGAAACGAATCTGACGACAGAAGAACGCCAAGAACTCTTGAATGAAGAACAGGTGGAAAAGTAAACAGGCTGCATCAATAGGCATAGCCTTAAAATAGTGAAGAAATAGTGGGTGAAATGATGTTATAAGAAGGGTGGGTGGAAAGGAAGAAGGATATGAGGGGGAAGGAATTCTAGAAAGATGAAGAAGGAAGTAGAATTGAGACACATGAGCGCCCTGCCGGGTACCTTTTTAAGAGAGAAATATAAATTACAAAATTTCCCACATAGGGGAGAACAGTTAAATGTAGCTATTTACGATGAAGTGCGGTTTTACAATTAATACCAGAAATAAATGGTCATCACAGAAGTGGTGTTACAGAGAGGATACGGCGAGACAGAGTTATCTGCAGAACCAAATGATAAATATCACTCCGTGCTGTTCTGCGATGGGCGATGTATCTTCTTAAAGTTGTCCATGGTTGAGATGAAGTTCAAAAACAATTTTCGTGCAGTCTATTCTCTTGAAGAAGAAATGGCTGGTATGGTCAGGGATGATTATTTTTAACACTCTCCCTCTCCCCCGCACGAGAAATTTCAAAAAAATCCCTTCTTAGTGTGCATTTTCATGGCGTACCCTAACTGTGTACCAAATTTTAACTTTCTACACCTAACCGTTTGTACTCTGCGCTTATTATTGTCATTATTATTATTATTATCAACCCATCCTCCCTCGGGGAGGTGAAATTTCCAAAAAAAAACCCTTCTGCACGCACGAGAGCGCCACTATCGCCACAATATTTTTTTTCTAGAAGAAAACATCCCATTTAAAATTCATTTCTTGAACAAAACATATTTTGAGAAAAATGTCACGGCACGCTTCATTTATTTTACGTTCAATGACATGTTAGGATCATTTAGAAACATACTAAACGGAGTCGCACGCACGCCATCTTTTGATCATCCCGACGATTCTATATTCGATTATTAAAATAACACATTTGAAGCGAACAGACGAAAAATAATTATTTTATTATTTCAAACATAAACATTATTAAAGTTAATATTCAATAAACAGATACGATAATAAAAGAGAAATATAGCATTAGAGTAATGTAGGGCCGGTGAAAAGCATCTAGGCTAGACGAGTGCTCATTGTTTGGTGTTAAAAGCGTTCCCGTTGTCAAGGAGGAGTGATGGGACGCTATTTCTTGTAAATTCTCTTCTCAGTTACTTTGAAATGAGTGCTCATGGATGTATTCATTTAACCAACTTCAAGAACGGTAAAGGAACTCATTCTTTTCGTGTCATCCATGCTTATTTCATAGCCTGTATCACCGAGGAATCGAGAAGAAAAAAGGTACGCACTGCGGATCTTCTTTGCTAAAACATTCGAAATGTGGCAATCATCGATCAGTTTTTTTTGTTTTTTTTTAATTACTGCTATGATATTCTCTCGTATATTTAGTTCACTTTTATAAAAGACAACCAGTTAATTCGGCGTTTATCTTGGAAATGAAGCAAAACATATTTTAACTTATCTATCCACACAAAAGACCTTCCACAGAATCAGATGAATGAATGATTCAGTTATATGATAATTTAATGATTCATGCCTTCCATCTATTTACAAATTTTCTTCATACTACTCTTTGTTCTATTAAGAAATTGTTTTAATAAATAAAATAATAATATATATATATATAATTCTTGATAAATCTTACATTAATTAAACAATTTTATATGTACAGTACATGCATCACAATATATTCATTTATTGTTTCCACTGCAAATATTTCATTCTACTTTATATTTTTAATATTGTTTTATATCAATAAAAAAAAAAGCGTATATACCGTCATTTATATCAATAAAAATCAAATTGAATCATGTATTATTTATATACGAAATAAAATTTTTGAATAAAACTGGTAGAACGACCCGATTATCGAGCTATCGTACGCTTACGTAAGTTATCCAGAGTTCTGTGTCAAGTTACCGTGAATTAATGAGTAGAATGGATGTTCCGTGGATGGTCCGGATTTAAGATTAAATTTAACCGTCGGCTTATGAGGTAAAGTGATTTTCTAATTTGTTACGGTGTATTGCACCGATTTTAGTAAATAGTTTTAACAAACTTTTATACTAATGCTTAAGTATTTAAATGACATTTTCCTATTTTATAATCTGCATATATTATTGGATAAACTTGTATTTATAATGACAATTAAATACGGTGGACATTTAAAAACTATTGTCATTTATCTAAATGCGGTAAATCTAGATGTTGCAATTTAGGCAGATATCGTTCTTTCGAAACAGTTAAACTATTAATATATGACGGTGATAAAAAGCAATATATTTTTATTATGATGATTTAGACGATAAAGTAGTTTGGCATGTGGGATCTTATAAGAACGACTGTTTAAATTTAATGAAAAGGTAACAGTACTATACCGAAATTTCAGAGAGTGGGAAAACTTTGGTTACAAAGTATAAGAAGTTTTTCATGCTATTTCAGTTTGGAGATTTTAATTTTTGTAAAGAAGGATCAATTATATGATACATATTAAAATTATAATTTAAAAGCAATAAAATTAATAAGCTTATTATGGCATAACAAAACTTGAGAATCTATTCAATTCAAAACGTTTATTTGAATATGTAACTAGGCAAATATTTTATTTTGTAAAGAAATAAAAAATTAGTAGTATTACTAAGCTTAGTTTCCTGATTTATATTGAGACATATACAATTAAATTACATATGTGATTTTTATAAAAAAATTATAAATGAGAATAAATCTTCTATTATATCATTATTATAGTAGATTTCTCATCATTTTAAGCCTGATTTATTCTTCAGTAGTTTCAAAAAATGGTATTTTTCATTAAAAATTTTGAATTTGTACAAATCACTGGTAATGATTAAATAATTTATTAGCAGTCACTAACAATGAAACCGTGTGTCATTTTAGTCAGTATATGAGATTTTTATAAAATATGTAGATAAATTCAAAAACATTTTAAAATTTCAAAAGATAGTTATAGAAATAATTTAATTTATATGTGGTTGGTTTTTCTTTATTCCTACTTAAAAAATTTTATCTGAACTTCTATGCAAATTTTAAAAAAAATTTTCTATAGGTTTTGCAATGAAAATCTTATGGTACTGATTTATTTTAATGCTTGAAATAGTAAAAAAAAAAAAGCATGCTAAAAATTTTTGGAAATAATACAATAATAATTAAATCAGATATTTATTTTAATCTTTAAAAATATTGCAATTGTAATCATATGAAAATAATTATGTACTAGTTAATTGTTTGTTTAATTTTTTTAAAACTTTTGTATTTTAAATTGAAAATAAAAATGAAAGTTATGCATTTTGATGTATTGTTTTCTTTTATTAAAAAAAATTTAATTAAATCAGAATAAACTTTTAAAATTGCAAGTTTATATTTTTTAAAATAGTTAAAATGAAAAGTTTTGTCAGGAAAAGTAAATCTTTATATAAATTCGAAATGAGTGTTGTTTAGTCAGTTTGTTTTTGCGACTTCTAAGAGTGTGTTTAAATAAACGTAAGTTACATAAATCATGTTTTTATAAATACAGATTTGCATTTAAATTTTTACATTGCATTTATAAAGAACTGAAGTGTTGACTTTTATAACTAATTTTCTTTTGTATTATATTTAGGAAATTATAAAGTATTAATCATTTTATGATAGTATTTTAAAGAATTTTTTTAATGCATAAATGAATATGCATGTATATATAATCTCTCCATAAGTGTTTAGACTCAGCATATACTAGAAAAATTCAAAAAATTTAGCATTATGTCAATAAAAGATAACATCTAATTTTGTGGTTAAAAAAAAATCATTCTTTTATATTTGTATCATAATTTTGAATTCAAGCTTTAATTTTTTTATAAAGATACTACATACAGTAAAAAATTCAGTGTAATAAAGTGATTATGAATATATAAAATTTTTTAATACAATGCTAAATATATATGATAGAAATATACTGCATTTACATATTATGGTAAAAATATACCTTTCAGCATTAAATTTATTTACTTTACAAATTGAATATATGCATGTACTTTTGACATTTCAAAATGTCATCCTCAGGAGAACAAAGAATATTCAAAATTCATTTTTATATATTCAATATATATATATTTTTTGTTTGCCTGAATGACATTTTGAAAAGTCAAAAGTACTTGCATATTAATGATTAGAAACTAATTAATTTGTCTAGAGGTAGGTTGTTATGCCACCTACTCATGTTAATTTTAATCTAAATTAATAGTTCTGGAAGTGAAGATTGGACGAAGGTCTAGGTAGCATAACTGACAATGCATCCACAAGGTAAGTGGAAATTGTAGGTTTGAGTCATGCTTTAGGCTGGTTCTTTTTCAGAATATTCTAAATTAAAAATTAATTTATTATAAGTACTTGCATGTATTCAATTTGCCAGGTAAATAAATTTAATGCCAAAAGACTATTTCCTCTTATATAATAAAGTGAACATTTTATGCTTTTTTTTTTCTTCAAGTTATTTTAAAGTAAGCATACTAGAGTATATAATAATCTTGACTTTACTTGAAAATCTTATACAGGTCAAAGTTTCAAACTCATCTCAGGCCTAGGCTATATCATATGTAAAAATAATAATCTTAGATTTTATGGTTGTAACAATGAATTATTATTATAATTGCTTATGTTTTAATACTACAAATTATATGAAGTTTCAATTATAAATGAAGATTTGCATCTTTTTAGAACAGAAAGGAAGAGAAATGTTTTCAGTCCTAATGGCAATCAAGTTATTAGATTCTCATTATATTACAACTGCTTTTTCGAAAAGTATTCTTCTTGAATAGAAACTTTAAAATAAGTGCAACAATAATTTGGATTGTAAATAAAATATATTTATTAATCATGATAACTAGTAAACAACTAGTTATCATAATTAATAAATGGTAAATGGCCGATATTAAGAAAATATCAAACTTTATTTAAGGAATCTAAAATCTTTACTTTCTGAAATGTTTTCAGGAGGACATCTTCAGGAGAATCAAACAATCTAACTTAAAGCTTTTGCCACAATTACAAATTTTCACAATTCAGTTCTCTTGAACACTTTTAATCTCCTACTTGGTTTTTTTATTGTCTACTCTGATGTAATATTCAAATTCTTCAACCAATCAGAGTTCATTGTATCCACATCTCCTTCTACCACATTATTACTAATTTCCTACAACCATCATCAACTCCTATAACTTATCCCTCCTCATTCTTAACCTTACACCCAACTAACTATTAATTCTCTCATCATTTCTTCTTTCCTATTATTAATCATAGCATCCAAATTTCTGATTTATCACATTATTCTCTATCCTTATTAGATAAGTACACATTGTTCCACCATTCTTGAATTTGTGAAAATGTATTCCTTGTAAATTACTCTTGTCTTATCCCATATTACTCTTATGCTTTTTTCATACACTTGGGCTAGGCTTGTGCTTATCTTACTCTTACATACTGTACATCCCTCTTTAATCCCCATTTATTTAATATTTAAGTTCTTCAAAGTAGACCTTATGTACAATGTCTCACTTCCACTACCTCTCTATCATATATATCCTCAACTGTTGCATATTCATTATCCACATCTGCTCCTTTTACATTATTATCTTTGAAAATTTATAGTTGTGGCCAAAGCTTTAAGTTGTATTGTTAGACGTGTTTTGAATGTCTCCTTAAAACATTTTGAAAAGTAAATTTTTAGATTCCTTGAATGAGATTTGGTGTTGTGTGTTTAATATTTATTAATGTTTAACCATTTTAACATATAAAAGAAAAGTAAGATATAAATTTATATTGATCTCAAATTATCATTTATTTTCTTTTAATTTATATTTTTAAAATATAATAAATACTAATCAGTATACAGTGAGTTATCTTTTTTCCATGGTCCACCAGAAAACATTGCATAAAAAATGGAGTCCTCCTGTTCAAATACATATAAATTAGATATGTTCTGAATCCTTCAAGAATGATGATATGAATTAATAATAATCATTTTTATTTATTCTATTATTAAAAAGTGCCTTGAAAACATTACTGTGTAACATTTTTCCATCTAATTGTGAATCTCGTTTCCATGTTTAGTTATTTATCTAAGATCATAAGGCTGCTTTAATCATTTATATGTAAATTTGTAGATTGGCAGAAGTTGATTATTAATGTAAATTAATTCATCTTTCAACTGCAAGAATATATTTAAATTCAAGATTCAAATTTCCATTTTGTTGACTTCATTTAGACTAGATGTTGAAGACATTCTA